AAATTTGTTTTCCAACACTGTAAACAGCAACTATACATACTGAACTCACTGGAAGGAATACACAGGAATCAAACTGATCACATCTACGGAAAAGGATGCTACAGAAGCTCTATACCAGCAATCAGAACAAGATCGGGGCTAAATGGGGAAGAGACTAACAACTGCATATGTAAGTTCAAACTGAAGCTGAAGAAAATGACAGTCCTTGAGACTATATTCAACCTGAATTTAGAGACCATATAGAAAATAGATTTGATGCACTGAACCCCAATGACTAGAGACAAATCATGACATGACACCCAGGACATTATGAATGAAGAAAACAAATGGCCATTGAAAAGGCAAGAAAAAAGAAGACCAAATAAGTGTCATAAATGACTCTGACACTTGTTCTTGAATGTAGAGTACCTAAAGTAAATTGTATAAATCCTGAAGTAACAGGGCTGAGCAGAAGATATCAAAAGGCAATTTGTAGAGATTAAAGAATTATTGTGAAATGGGCAAAAACCTAGAGCTACCTAGAGCTATAAAACCAAGAGAGAAAAACATGTTCAGCATTTCTCAAAGTGAAAGAAATGAACCAAGGTTCAAGCTTTGAGTTATGATACTAAAGGATTCTATTGGCAAAATATTGAGTGATGCAGGAGGTAGCAAAAGAAGTGGAAATAAATACAGAGTCATGGTACAAAAAATCCCACACTGGTTGACATTTAACTATTTCAGGAGGCAGCCTATGAAGAAGTGATGGGACTGAAGAAGGAGGTGCAAACTGATAGTAGCAAAAATCTCCAAAGCCAAACTCAAAACAACTCCATGAACTGACAGAATGCCAACTGAGATGTACCAACAAATGTATGTAGCTCTGGAAGAGCTCATTCACGTATGCTAAGCTATCTGGAAGACAGTTTCCTGATGGGTTAAGTGGAAGAAATCCATATTTATTCTATTCCAAAGAGAGATGATTCAACAGGATGTGGAAATTATCAGAGTCATTAAAATGACACACAAGTAAAATTTTTCTAAAGATAAATAAAAATATTGACGGTGAACTGCTAGAGAGTCAAGCTGGATTCAGAAGAGGATGCAGGAAGGATGACTAAAAGCAGAGAATACCAGAGAGATGTTTACCTATGTTTATTGACCGTGCAAAGGCAATTTGTATGGATCATAACAAATTCTGAATAACGCTGTGAAGAATGAGAATTCCAGAACACTTAATGATACGAACTTGGAAACTATACACACACAGATAAATACGGGTGCTCTGGTTGAGCATCTTGGCACGGGTACGGGTTCAGTACAGACACAATGAAGTGGCTTAAAATCAGAGATTATATCCATCAGGGATGTATCCTTGGAGCATATTTATTCAATCTGTATGTTGAACTCTGTGGGAGAAACACATGGCAATATGCTTTTGTAATTATTTACAACCTTTTACTCTGATCTATAGGATCAGAGTCAGAATCAATTTGACAGCAGCAGGCTTTTTTAGCTGTTTGACCACTAACCTGAAGGTTGGCGGTTCAGACTCACCTAGCAGCATCTCAGAAAGCAGGCCTGCTTCTGTAGACTGTTGTTATATGCCATTTAATGAGAACCGTTTAATGACCCTCCAACAGGTTTTCAGAGGCTGTAAATGGCAAGAGAGAAAAGAGTGCCCATCTTCCTACCTCACAGCAACTGGTGGAGTTGAACTGCCTATCTTTGGGTTGGTAGCACAACTCTATACCACAAGACCACATTTCTGTAAGGATAACGGCCATGGAAACCATGCTCTGTAACACACGGGTTTCTGTAAGTCAGAAGCAATTGGACACAGTAAGTTTGGTTAGATTTTTTGTCAGTATATAGAATGTAATTCCACTTCTGGGAAACTCTTTAACAAGTAACAGGACGCTGATGAAAGTTTCTAATAAAAAAATGTTCATCCATGCTCAATGTATTTTATTTGTAATAAACAAAAAAAATCTGTCAACCAGTCTATGTTCAGTGAGAGTGGAATTGTTAAACACGTGTTTGTTAAAAGAAGTGAAACTGACCTTTTTGTATGAAAATAGGGAAAATTATCTATTCAGTTATTGGTTAAAATAAAAAATTAAAAATCCAAACCGAAACAAATCAACAACAACAAAAAAAAACATGTTCTAGAACAGCACTGGGATGTAATGAATCTCACAGTAATAGAAATTTATTTTTCTTTTTATTTAGCCCCTAAGGAAAATAATTAAATAAATTCTGGTACTTCTCGGTAAGAGAATGTCTTCCATAACATGGGAAAATATCCATACTATAAAACTTCAAACAAGCAAAAGCTAAGTATTTTGAACTTTCTGGTGAGGAAATAAAATGAATGCACAGAGAAAGTCATGAATACCTAAGAGTGGTTGTGAAAATAGAAGTGGTTTTCTTTTTTCTGCTGGTTTTATCCAGTGGACATATATTTTAATTTTTATTCATTTTCTTTCCATGTACCATCAAATCAGATCCAACTGACACAGGAGGTGTCTGCCCCTCCTTCTCCAGCAGAACATCTGGCAGATTTGAACCACGTACCTTCATGATTGCAGTGCAGCTTCTTTGCCACTAGGCCACCAGAGCTCGCGTGTGTGTGTGTTTTTAAATGAGAGGTTAGAAGAAAGTAAAAGCACTTGGAAACTAATAGTTTGCAGACAGCATTTTTGTGTTTTGGAAACAGTAGCATCTTCTATGTGAGCAGCTACTGCAGGTGTAGCTAGCCTGTGACGTATGCTGCTACTATACAGAGCTCAGCACATCTAGGAAACCAAATATACATTTGGTTTTTGCCATGTGGTGCCAAATTCTAGGTCTGATTTAAGCTTTTCCTTTGCTGTGTTGTCATTTTTCTGTGATGTTGAAGAGACGAGAGCTGAGTATTCCCATTTTGAAATAGAGCAGTCCTGGTTCCTAAGCCCAAGGTTCAAGGCTTCCATGTTCAGAAGTCAGATTCTTTTGACCTAGCTGGCTTCGTGTCCTTCCCTCATGCCTTACCTGCCCCACTAGAATGGGGAAGAGACTGAGTAAGATATTCTGGGCTGAGAGATAGAAGGTTTAGAAATAGAAAAGCCTATTCAATCTTCCTAGACTCAAATCACTGCAAGGTAGATGAAAGAATTTATGTAACTCTTCGACTCCCAATACAAACAGGTAAGACCTGTGCCATGAGGCCACTGCAGATCCCTCTTAACCCTTCAGTGTGTGTCGTGTCTTTTCCAAGATTCACAGAAATGCTGAACTCCCAACCATGAACCCTATGACGTAATTAGAGGTGGTGTTTGTTAGGTCTGTAAATTGCCACCCGAAAGACCACTGACTCACTATGCAATCAGTAAGAGTGCTTTATTCTGAAAAACAAACTCCAGCACGCAGGGGTCTACAAGCCAATAGAAATGACGACCCCGAGTGAAGGCACACAGGCCTTTTATAGATTACTTTACCAAAGTGAGGTATTCGGGAACATGATTGGTGGATGAGGGGAACAGCTAATGGGTCGGTTTGTGTTTGGCTCGTGCCTAGGCGGGTAACAGCCCACATCTTCAGGTCACTAGCTCGGGTAGCTCACATCCTCAGTCACGCAGCTCACATCCTCAGTCACGCAGCTCACATCCTCAGTCACGCAGCTCACATCCTCAGTCACGGAGCTCACATCCTCAGTCACATAGCTCATATTCTCAGTCATGCAGCTCATATCCTCAGTCACGTAGCTCGTGTCTTCAGTCACATACACACTTTCTTGTGTCACGCACACATATTCTTGTGTCATGTACACACATTCCTGTTCTACATACGTTATACCTCAGGATTTGTTATGAAAACAATGTCTAACCTTATAAGCACAAAATGGAGTCTGTACAGTGCTCAGAGTGTTGTTTAGATCTTACTTGACATTTTGTTCCAATAGCAGGTAAGTGACTAAGAATATGTATGTGATGTAATATTGCACATGTTGCTGTTGCAATAGAGACCCTTTGTTTTAAGGTACTTGTTAGCTGGGCTATTTGCTTTAGTTATTCAATTTGTTCCCTCTGGGGTTTGCAGAGATCATGACGAGGGTGCAGTATAGGGCAAGGTTCCGATCTGTAGTTTGTAGGGTTGCTGTGAGTCAGCATGAAGTTACCTAACAACAACAACAACAACAACAGCCAATTCATACTGACTGGAGTTGATCTTTGTGTCCAAAATGTATGAAGTAAAAGAAAAACAAAACACTACTCTGAAAAAAGTTGTACAGCTATCATGCCATCTGTGTTTTGGTAATCTAGAAAATAATCTACATCTATCAGTGTTGGTGAATGCGTCTCACAAACTCATTGTCATTGGAATCAACTTGTAGCTGAGTCTCGGGGTGGGGTGGGGTGGGAGCTGTAAATCTTATGAGAGGAGAATGCCTTTTTGTCTCAGAGCCAATGGTGAACTCAAACTCTCAGAGAGGTGCTGCCTTTGGGTCAGCAGCAAGACTCCCTCTGGACTAAAGGACTCCGGATCTCTCTTGGCAAATGGATAGAAAAAGCCAACACTATTAACACTGCTTACCTGTGTGAGCAAGAATGGCATGCACACGTAAGAGACTACAAGGGAGGGCCTTCACTTTTTACTTTACATAACCCTGTTCTATTTGAATTTCAATTGTTTGTTTTGTTTCAGTAGTTTCAGTTTTTATTAAAAACCCTCAAAGCATTTTTTTAATAAAGATCACCAACCACCTTTTGATACCCTCCTCCAGCATTTTAAATGTGTTCAGAAACAGCAGAGAATTACAGATGCTTGAGGTGAGGGCAAATTACTGATCTGGGGGTGGGGGTCTGGTTTAGGGCAAGCGGCAGCAAAACCTGGAAATTGGGAAGGGAGGGAAAGAGAACAAGGGGCGGAGTGTCTGCTTAAGCTCTCCCCTTCGACCAATAGGATACAAGCTTTAGGCCCAACACCCATTTGTGGAGACTATTTCAGGTGTCAGAATTTGCGTCTGAGTTCACTGTCATTGTAACTTGGCAAAGAAGAACTCAGTGAGCTTTCAGATTTGTCTCCTTGGAGCTGCTTCTACACTCGAAAGGTACGGTCTTAAATTTTCAGCAAATCTGGTGTTGGGAAGGTTGCTGATTCTTCTCTTTGTGATGCATTTACCTTGTGGTGTACTGATACACATATGAACTTATGGGCAAGGGCTTCTTGATCACTTATCATGTTAATGATAAGTTTCTAACAGTGCAGAGTGTTTCTTCCAGGCAAAACCCAGCCAGGTGAGACTTTAGAGAAATTCTCTCCTGCATATGTGCTCATGAGAAATTCTCTCCTGGGTAGGTGCTCGATAGAAAAGCATGTCTAACAGTTTTTGACTGTTTGACAATTTTTTCCTTAGTGTCATTTGCTCTCTACTGACATTGCAGGCGAGGCTCTCGCTTCATCTCCTACCTCAGTGAGAAGTTCTAAAGCTCCCCATTTCTATGACAAAGCTACTTTAAGTGAGAGAGAAGGCAATGAAATAGGATGCTTGGAAAGACTCATGACATCTGATCACCCTGATGTTTGACTCCCTTTGGTCTGTTGTGCGTTTCCCTGGAACCTCTTTCTTTTTCCTAAAGGCTAACTAACAATGGACCCTTACGTGATTAAGATGAACAGCAAAGGCGCCCTCTCCTCGGTCCTGGATGTGCATGTCAACATTGATGGGAGGGGCTCTGTGCAGGGCAAAAAGAAGGGCAGGAAGGCCAGGTGGTCGGTGATGCCGTCAGACACATCCAACAAAACCTTCAATCCCATCCGGGCCATTGTGGACAGCATGAAGGTGACGCCAAATCCAAATAAGATGATGATTGCTCTGTCAATCGGTGAGTTGGAGACGGCTGACCCTCATCTACCCTCATCCCCAAGGGTTATTTGGAGAAGAAGAGAGTGAAGGGTGTGTCTGAATACTGGGCATGGAAGAGTAAGCTCTTGATGGCTCCTTTATTTTTAACTCTTTCCATGAAAAGGGGACCCAACTGTGTTTGGAAATCTGCCTACAGACCCTGAAGTCACTCAAGCAATGAAGGATGCCCTGGACTCGGGGAAGTACAACGGTTATGCCCCATCCATTGGTAAGCTCTTCCCAGGATCCTCTGCCCGTCAAGTCTTTAGTGCTCATATAAGAGGAATAAATTTCTAGCAGTTTTCCTGAGGCATAGCTTGTAAGGTCATTTGACTTTGAGAAAGGAATCTTGCTATGTTTAAACATAAGTCTCAAAGATCTAATTTTTTTTTAGGTTTCCTTTGGCAAACTGCTACCCCACTCCTAGACTCCCAGAACCTAATTCTCAGACACTGCTTCTGTTCTACCACTATTCTAGTAGGAAGGCCTTGGGTTTGCTTACTGATTATTCTAGTCCCTGAATTAACATTTTCCCCCCTTACAGAAATAGCTCCTTTGCTTTTATTTTTTACAGCCTATTTTAATTATGGTATGGAACACGCTGAAATGCAACTGTAACTAAGATTGTTGCTGTTATGTGCCTTGGAGTTGGAATCAATGCATAGCTGACCCCACAGCCAACTTTCAGGGGCTGTAAATTTCATGGGAGGGGAGTGCCCATTTTTCTCCTGAGGAGCAGGAGATAAATTGGAACCTCTTACCTTTGGGTTGGCAGTGCAACTTCTTACCACTAGGCCACCAGAGACCTCTATTTAAGATTAAAAGGGTAAAAAAAAGCTAACAGTGGCAGAGAATAGGCCATCATAGTGAAAGGCTGGAAAGATGTTTTCAGCCGAAAAACATTTTTTCTATTAAGGTTTAGTTCTCTGCATCTATTAAACATTTCAAAGCTGTTGTGCTGGGGAGGAGGAGTGACTATCTGATGGACTGTATAAAGAACAAACACATATGTCCTGGACAAAGGATGACAAGAGTACTCCTTGGAGGCAAGCATGGCCAAACTTTATCTCACATACTTTGGGTATGTTGTTAGGGTAGGCTTTTCCTTGGAGAGGGACATCGTGTTTGGAAACACTGAGGGTCAGTGAGAGAGAGGAAGGCTCTCAATGAGATGGACTGATACAGTGACTTCAGCAGTGGGCTCAAGTGCGTCAGAGATGATGAGGACGGCACAGCGTCAGCTCTGTCACTGTGAGTCATACTTGACTTGATGGCACCTAACAACAACTTGAAGTTTTCAGTAAAAGAAACATTTCCTTGCCTGTGCTTCAGTGCGGCACATTCACTTCCTGCACAATATATGTATATAGAAAGATATTCTACACAGAGTAAGAACCGTGTTTCACCCTAAAATAGGATTCCTAAAGCACCTCAGAGAAGTACAGAGACACGGCTTAAAAGCTGATTGGTTAACTCTTGTAAAGTTTCTTACAACAAAAATAAAAGCAAAATCAAGATAAAGAATTGAGCTATAGGTTATAAAAAGTTTATAAAGACCTCCCGGGGCCCTGGCGGTACACAGTCTATAGGGAGTATGTACTCTGTGCAGAGGTAACTTGTCTCTTTTGGGCTTCACTGTCCATTGAGGGATGAAAGCCTCCACCTCCCTTCCTTTACTCTTCTAGGCTACTTGTCCAGTCGAGAGGAGATCGCTTCTTATTACCACTGTCCTGAGGCACCCCTGGAAGCTAAGGTAAAGTAACAGCCTTTCCTTTTCTTTTCTCTGGTCTCTTGGAGGAATGTCAGAAAGCAGAAGACCTTCAGCCATTTGAGGTCTTCTAATACAGTGGGGGCCACTAATCGGTGACTAATGTCATTTCACGTCATTATTTTGAACATATAATAAGAATGGTGTGTACGGCCCACGTGATGTCTGTCTCACAGAAGTGCAGAAGGACTCAGGGGTCACCCTGTACTTGATCATCTGCAGAGGTCACTGGAAAAGAACTCCTAAGCACTAAATACCTAGCATCCTTTTTCATTTCATCAACGAGATCTTTAAAAATCAGAAGCTTGTGCGACTCACCTAAAGGTCACTCTGATGGGATGTCTGAGAAAGCACAGCACACTGCACTGATATCAACATCCACCGGTGTTTCCTAACGTAAGAGACGTCCTTCACCTGCAATTCAAAGAAGAGCCGGGGTCAACTCTCTAGCCAAAATAAAGAAACAAATAGCCAGATGGAAAAGTCCAAGGCCACCCTGTTGTCCCAGGGGAAGTGTGCCAACTTGCCCTTTTAAAGTGAATAAAGAAATTAAAAAACCAACCTAAAAAACAAAGGTCAACGTTTTCAGTAATATTACTTATGTAAATGTGAATTTATTTTGGTTTGGCTTAGTACACAGTCCCTGTTACTTTACCTAGGATTTGTACAAGTGAATTTAATACTGTTCTTTATCCACCCTTCTAGTGAGCTCTTCTCTCCTCCAGCTGTTGAAAAGCCTAACAAAGTTCATCTCTCGTGCTGTTCACAGGATGTCATCCTGACAAGTGGCTGCAGTCAGGCTATTGAACTTTGTTTAGCTGTGCTGGCCAATCCAGGACAAAATATCCTAGTCCCCAGACCTGGTTTCTCGCTCTATAAGACTTTGGCTGAATCTATGGGAATTGAGGTCAAACTCTACAATCTGTTGGTAAATGACTTTTTCATTTTAGCCTCAAATGCTCAGTTCCTACCCCAAGAGGAGGGGGCTGGTCAAGCCCGTCTTAGCATGTACATTACATCCCTGGGAGGGGGCTCTGGTGGCTTAGTGGGGAGGAGTTGTGCCGCCAACACTAAGTCACGCAGTGTGAATCCATGACCTGCTCTGTGGGAGGAAGATGTCCAGTCTCCTCCTGTGTGATTTACTGCCTCCTGAAAACCTGCAACATCACAACCTTGGGTGAAGTGAGTAATCCCCTTAAGTTTCTCCAAATCATCTTAAGGTTTCCCTTTCCTCTACTCTAGCCAGAGAAGTCTTGGGAAATTGACCTGAAGCAACTGGAATCTCTGATTGATGAAAAGACAGCGTGTCTCATTGTTAATAATCCATCAAACCCCTGTGGATCTGTGTTCAGCAAAAGGCATCTTCAGAAAATTCTGGCAGGTAAGTCCAGAGGACTGTACAAAAGAAATGTGGACGAAAACCTTCTCCCTCATAGGGACACACAATTTGATGGGTGGAGGGAGAGATGGGTTAGCAAAAGGGGCAAGATCCAGTTTGAAAAACAATGTATATGAACTTTATGAACTTTGCATGTAAACCAGTATAAAATAATAATAATAATAAAGGAGATAAGTTCAATGAAGAAAAAGACAATATAGAATAAAGGTTTAATTGCATATCTTAAAAAAATTAAACCCTTTCATAGAACAAAGAAAAAAAAAAAAAGAAAAGATAATGGTTTCTGGAATGAGAGTGTCCTTCCCCACATCCCACACAAGGGAAGGAGGTCCTCCGGGTCGCTAGAGCACAGTGTGCCACAAGGCTGTAGGGCTTGTCTAAAAGAAGCAGCGGAATAAGAAATGCTGGCCTCTCCACCTCTCCCATCATATGAAAAAAATGTGATTACCTAATTGGTTTAACTGCAAATTGAAGCTCTGTACCCTAGAAAAATCAATAAAATTCCCAATTCTTTAAGACAAAGGGGGGAAAAAACAACCCATAAACATGAAATAGAGAGTATAAGATGACTAGGTGAATAGTTTTAAGATAATTCTCATTAAGAATAATTTCCACATGTTTCTCTTCTTTTCAGTGGCTGAAAGGCAGTGTGTCCCCATCTTAGCTGATGAGATTTATGGAGACATGGTGAGTCTTAGCAAGACTGAGCACCTACAGATATCTCAGCTGTAAATTACTTCACGTTGTTGTTGCATGCCCTCGAGTTGGAACAGAGCTACAGCTGGCCCTCCAATGGGTTTTCAGAGGCTTTAAGTCACATAGAAGAGAGTTGCAATGGGATTGCAGTGCAGTTTCTTATAACGAGGCCACCAGAGTTTCTTTTATGTTCTCATAGTGTACTTTAAGAACTTTCAAAAGTAGTGATTAGAATAATCAGAGGCAACCCTTCATCCTTAAAGTGTGTGTGTGTGTGTGTGTGTGTGTGTGTGTGTGTGTGTGTGTGTGTTATAGTGACACAACTCTGTTAAGCATTCTGCTGTGTTAATGGAAAGGGTGGAATCTGAACCCACCCAACAACTTCTCAGGAGGAAGACTTGCCGATCTACTTCTGTAAAGATTACAAGCAAGAAAACACTATGGGACAATTCCACTCTGGCATATGGGGTCACTGTGTGTCGACAACACTCAACAACAATGTGTGTGTGTGTGTGTGTGTGTGTGTTTTCAGGACTCCTTAGCCAAAAAAGCTATGAAACCCCAAAGATATGTGGAATTTATTTGGTAGCAAACCTGACTTGACCTGATAGGAGATATTTATAGATTTTTATTTGTCTTTTTAAAGTGGTAGAAATATCAAGATGTATAATTAATGGACACTTCCCAAATCTAATAATAAGTGTTACATAATATATGATATCCTGAATCCAAACCCACTACTATAGTGTCAGTTCCAACATGGGATTTCCAAGACTGAAAGGAACAGAATCAAATGGTCTCATCTTTTTGCTTCAGAGTTGGTGGATTCAAACGGCCAATCTTTTAGATAGCAAGCCAACATACAAACCATTAAGCCACTGAGGCTCTTTGCTCTATCTTACGGTATAACTACAACATGACCTTTCTCAAATCTAAGTCCCCATTCTGAAACTTACCTAGAGCTAGGAGTTTTAAATAAGGGGTTATGAGCCCATATTTTTATCTTTAGATCTGTAGCTCCAACAGCCACTCATTTCATAGAGTCATTTTCATGGGATCATACACAGTACTGGGATAACCCAAAAGGTGACCAGTTTATACCTTTTTGGGTTTCCTATAACCTAGACCTGAAAACAAATAGGTCACCCTTTGGAAGCTCAATCTTGTGTCAGAGTAGGGATGGTTCTAACCCACAATAGGGATGATTCTGTCTTTCCCCAGTAAGTAAGGAAAAGGCATGGGTTGGAAAAGCAGGCTAGCAGAGAAGTCTAATGAGTCCCTCTTGTCATTAGGTGTTTGCAGACTGCAAATACGAGCCTCTAGCAACCCTCAGCACCAGCGTTCCCGTCCTGTCCTGTGGCGGGCTGGCCAAGCGCTGGCTGGTTCCTGGCTGGCGGCTGGGGTGGGTCCTCATCCACGACCGAAAGGACATTTTTGGCAATGAGGTGAGAGCAATGTGGGGAAACAGTCCGCTGTGTTTCGCACGCATACTTTATGCACACAGTGGTAAGGAGTCAGGAAAATAGTTGTTTTTTTTGTTTGTTTGTTTTTTAATTTTTTTTTTATTTTGTGTGCGTGTACCGTCAAATCAGATCTGACTGGTACAGGAGGATATTGCGCCTCCTTCTCCGGCAGAGCGTCTGGTGGATTCGAACCGTGTTCCTCTGGGATTGCAGTGCAGCTTCTTGCCACTAGGCCACCAGAGCTCCCCAGGAAAATAGTTTTTGACCTCATAGTTCAGGTACCTGGAAAGGCAGCAGGTAAAGATGGTAGTTGCTCTTCCTCCTCACTCCGTTTCTTGTAGGTGCCTCTGTGAAGACATTCCATCCATTCCAATTTCAGGACCCTGAGCAAGAAAACCATGATGTTTGAGGGCTTATAATACATTGTACGCATAGTATGCACTAGTGCACAGTATATGGTATACATTGTTAAGTCAGGGCTTTATATGTGTTTTTAAAAATTAATTTTGTTGTTGAGATCACAAACAGCAAACTATACACCAATTCAATAATTTCTACAAGTCTAATTCAGTGGAACTGATTGTGTGCTTTGAGTTGTGCTACCACTTTGACTCTCCATTTCTGAGTAGTTCTTCCTCCATTAATATAAGCTCACTTTCCTCCCTCATCCCTAGCTGATCCTCTGAACTGCTGTTGTCTCTCTGTACATACATTAGTGTCATTATTACAACTCTGTCAGGCCTGTATTAATATGGACTCCTGTATAAAAAGGAGAAAACAGGCCATGGGGGCACAGGGCCATGAGCATCTCTCTGAAAGGGCCAGAGGGACTAAGAACAATAGCACAGCCTCTCACTACCGCAGAGCATAATACAGATAAAGAGCCCAAAGCCAAGCCCCATAGTGCTTCTAGAGTTCCAGCAGCAAAGGTTCACTTATTTGTTACTGACTCACAGACTCACGTTATGGTACCAACAATGGGTTTTATTAGGGAAGTTAGTGGGGGAGGCAAAGAATATCTCACAATACAAGTCCAGGCTTTAGCCCAACAGTTCCAAGGCACAATTCCTCAATAAGTCCAGGCTCCTGTTTCAGTTCAGCAATCAAATCCAAATCATCCAGCAAAGTTTGCCTCAGACTAGTTATAAACAAATCATCCAGCAAAGTTTGCCTCACAGCAGTTATACATTAGCTTCTCCTTTGAACATCTGGAAAGAACAGCCACATTTTTAACTGTGGCCAATACAGATGCAAGAGGCCTCAGGTCACACCTTGCACACAGCAATGCCAAAGTCTCTCCACCACCAAGGTCTCACTCTCACCAGGGTCTTGCTGCCTCAAGTCTTGCTTCAAGTCTTTCTCAAGTCTTACTGCCCAGTGTGGGAAGCATTTTTTCTTTTATCCTAGTCTCACAGCTGTTGGTGATTTACAAGACCATACTGATTTGTAAAATCATATCCCTGCAATTAATATAGCCAGAGACCAGAAAGGGATAATTGTAATGGCTTTAAAAAAAAAACCCATCTTTGAGGCTCACACTACAACTCCATTTTAAAGTTGAGAAAATGAAGTCACAGAAAAATGAAGTAATTTGTGTAGAGTCACTTAGTAACAGGTGTGTGGAAGAGCCAGGATATAAACCTAGGTGATCTGAGTTCAGTGTGTCACTAGGCACCATCACTTCCCCAAATTTTTAAACTTGGTAGAAATAACACTTGTTATAAGAATCTCGGGCGCAGGATTGCTTAGTAAATGCTAACTGTGCTGTCTGGGGGTCTTTTAGATCCGAGAAGGGCTGGTGAAGCTGAGCCAGAGGATCTTGGGACCTTGTACCATAGTCCAGGGGGCTCTTAAAAGTATCCTGCGTCGCACCCCTCAAGAGTTCTACCACAACACTCTAAGCTTCCTCAAGGTAAGCCCACAGCCTTCTACTTCCAGGGACAGGGGATGCCACCAATGGAAAGGGAAGAACTGGTTCTCACTTCTGGACAATGGGGCTTCTACATCTGTCCTGGATGTGGCTCCCATATAAATACAGACATTGCTGTTGTTATTGTTATGTGCCGTCGAGTCACTTGAGACTCATAGCAACTCTATGTACAGCAGCCCTAAACTTTGCTCTATCCTGTGCCAATCGCACTGCCTCTGACACACCCATCCCGATTATCCCAGTCACTGAATCAATCCACCTCATAGAGGGTCTTCTCCTCTTGCACTGTCCCTCCACCCTCCCAAGCATGATGTCCCTCTCCAAGGACCTGTCCCTCCTTACATACCTAGGTGTTATTGCAGGTTTGATCAGACCACCACAGCAAAGGGAACATCAAAATAAAGTGAGTCACACACATTTTTTGGTTTCCTAGTATATATAAAATTGATGTTTGCTCTACATTATAGTTTAGTAGGGAGCCTTGGTAGCCTAGTTGATAAGGAGCTGTGCTGCCAACCCAAAGAAACGTGGTTCAAACCCACCAGTGACTCCTCAGGAAAAAGATGGGCAATTCCCTCTCATGTGATTTACAACCTCTGAAAACCCACTGGAAGGTCAGCTAGGAGTTGGTTCCAGTTTGATGGTGCACAATAACAACACAGTCTACTAAGTGTGCAACAGTATAAGGGAAAAGTGTGCAGTCACATGAGGAAATATTGCCAAATATAACACAGAGACATAAAGTGAACACATGCTATTGGAAACAGCACTGGTTGACTTACCCAGTGCAGGTTTACCACAATTTCCAATTCATAATAAAAAGCAATATAATGAAGTGTAATAAAATGACAAATGCCTTTGTCAAGCCACTTGAGTCTCCTTTATTTATTATTTATTTCTCTGTCTCTCTTGTAGTCCAATGCTGATCTCTGCTATGGGGCATTGGCTGCTGTCCCTGGACTTAGGCCTGTCCGTCCTTCCGGGGCCATGTACCTCATGGTAAGTACGTGGGTGACGGGCATTAGATCTATAAATGCCATAAAGCAAAGGGAAGCCATGCCACAGGGCTCCCATAAGCGATCATGCACTGAGGAATTCAAGGAACTGCCGTTCGTGACATTACGGAGTTAGAATCCCAAGTCCATCAGTTTATAAATGGTCTTGCTCTGAGCTGTCCCACCGAAGTGATTTAACCCTTACTCAGAAACCTCTTAATATGACTTAATACAGACACTCTGGATATAAGAAGGCCTAAGACACAAAGAATAGGCTCCCTTCACAATTGTTCTCAACTATGGGTGATACTAGTTCCCTAGAGGTGTTTGGGAAAGTATAGGATTTTTATTTTAAGAATGACTGGGGGGAGGGTGTGTGCTTCTGGTATTTTGTGGGTTGGCAATGCTAAATATGCTACAATGGATGGGATAGTCCCACACAGTAAAGAATTGCCTAGCCCACCATAATGCTAATAGTGCCTCTTTTGAGAAGCACAAGCATTGTCTCTTCAGCTTTACTTTATCAGCATCCAGAAAGGAAAGTTTCAACAAACTATTAACATAAATACATCCTTGCTTCCCTGTGAAAAATTCACGAGTTCATAAATGCATGCTAGAAGTTTTGAGTTAGTTATAGTATCTAACTTGAGTTTGAGTTAGCTACAGTAGAGTTTCAAGGTATCTCATGGCGGCATCCCTATCTTAATTTCTACCAGAAGGAGTTTCCCCTCCTGATAAGTTAACTTTTTCCTTCCAATCTTGGAATAGGTGGGCATTGAGATGGAACATTTCCCAGAATTTGCGAATGACGTGGAGTTCACTGAGCGATTAGTTGCGGAGCAATCTGTCCACTGCCTTCCAGCAACGGTGAGAACTTAGTGCCTCTCAGGAGACTCCTAACATTTCTAGAATCCTCGGAGTCTCCCCAGGCTGCCCTTTCTCGTGTTCTTGGTTGCTCTGGAGTTGACTCTGCCCCATATGTTATAGAGCAGAACTGCTCCACAGGGCTTTCTAGGCACAATCTCAAGAAAAGGAGACACACAGGCCTTTTTTTCTGAAATGCACTGCCAACCTTTTGAGTGCAAGTTGTTCAGCGCAAACCATTTGATCTCCTGGGAATCTTTGCTACCCCTCTCCCATATGTATTCTCATTTGATTCAATCATAGCCTTTATTTGAAATCTGTTTCTCCCTTGTTATTATTTCACCTATACCTGAAAGAAAAGTCATTGTCTAATATACTAGGGAGTATACAAAGTTTGGTTGAGTAAGTAATGTATCAGGTAGATCAAGCAACATCCGACAATCAAAAAGTAAACTAAGGAGTATACTCCTTGTCGTTGTCATGTGCCATCGAGCTGGAACTGACCCATAACCCACCCTCCAGAGGGTTTTCAGAGGCAGTTAATTGCACAGGGAGATTACCCATCTTAGAAAGTCCATTAGGGAGCTCTGGTGATTTAATGGTAAGAAGCTGCACTGCAATCTCAAAGACAAGTGATTCAAAACCAGATGGGCCATCTCCTCCCAAGCAAATGCACTGGAGGGTCAGCCACACGTTGGCTCTGACTCGAGAACAAATGACAGTAATACACTAGATGGGGGGAGGGGGGAATTGAGCTTCCTTTTGAGATGCCTTAACTCAACCACCTACCTGGTCCCTTAGCATCTGAGAAGCGAAGTGATATTCACTGCTGCTTTGCAGACCGGGGTTCTGACCATACTTAAGGTGATGTGGAACCAGATTCAGCTGCTCCGAAGGTAACAGGCTCTCACTTTCGCAGTGCTTTGAGTACCCGAACTTCTTCCGTGTGGTGATCACGGTGCCCGAGGTGATGATGCTGGAGGCCTGCAACCGGATCCAGGAGTTCTGTGAGCAGCATTACCACTGTGCCGAGGGGAGCCAGGAGGAGTGCGACAAATAGGCAGTGGTTGACCTTCTCTGAAGATGTGCCCCGTTTGAAATGTGCTGGGCTGGGCCCTGATGCTCCTCTGGAAATGGGTGTCTAGGGCAAGGGGCCTCATCAACACCCCATCACTGGTTCAGGATTGCTCCTTTGTTCCCCTGCAATCTACATATCCCTTCCACATGGGTTCCTCCTTCCCTTACCCCCCAAGAGTACCAGGTGAACCAACATTTGCCAGAAAGCAGCAGAAATAAAGACAAGAAAGGATAAAGAACAGTCAGGGGAGAGAAACAAAAGCTGAGGAGAATTTGTGTGCTTCCTTCATCCTCGTGCCAAGAACAAGAAGAAACTTCCCTTGTCAACACTTAAGCCCCACTCTCTTCCTCACTTCCGATATACCTCATTAATACACTAGAGCCCAAACTGAAAACAAATTGGGTGGGGGACACACATGGATTTGGTAATCATATTCTAAGTGTATTAGAAAAATTTGTTGTTTGAAGTATCTCTGATAGAAATCTTTGCTTTGCTTTATTTTTTGGGGAGGTGGGTGGGAAGAGGAGGACAAATCTTGTGATGCAAATAAATATCCTTTTATTGATTGACTTTGCAAACCTAGATTTATGTGTAACCTGTGCTTTCATAGAAAGAGGTCATATTGGTTGGTACTAAATTAAAGAGGAGGAATCAGGAGACTTTCTACAACTACTACGTTTTAAGAGCCAGGAACAGCCATTCTCATTTGTTACAGGATCATTATGTCTTTTGCTGTGACACTGATACTGATTTACTGCTATTTAGAAATATATATAAATATAAATAATATATTGTGTTTTTTAAAGAAACATTTATATTGAGAAGATCTTTTATTTTGCCAAGGGTATAAATTATTGTTTTCCTTTTTTTAAAAAAAATAAATAATACAAGGTACGCTCCTCTGTCATGTGGTTTTTTTTCCCTCCCCAATTGTCAGGTGTTGCCCCTTGTTTGATCTGCACTACTGACTAACTCAAAGCCCCTGCTATTAAATCCATTCTGACGCACAGTGACTCTATAGGACAAAGCAGAACTGCTGATAGTACCCTCCAGGCTTTATGGGAAGGAAACTGCCTCATCTTTCTCCTGAGGACTAGCTGATGGGTTTAAACGCTGAGTATTTAGGTAGCAGCTAAATCCTTTAACCACGGTGCCACCAGGGCCCTTGTTATTACTATCTTTTGTTGCTAGAGTCAGAGTTTATGGAGTTTTGTTTATGGAGTCAGTTGACTCCAGCGAGATTTTAAAGGTAGTAAATCACACAAGAGGGGGGAGAGTGCTTATCTGTCTCCCACAGAGCACCTAGAAGATTTGAACTGTGTGCCTGTGGGCTGGCAGCACAACTCTTTACTTCTAGGCCAATTGAGCTTCCTTCATGACTACCTGTTCCTGCAGAGTAAGGTTCATCGCAACTCTATGAAACAAAGATCTGAACTCTGTCCTATCCTGCACCATTCTCATCATCTCTAACATACACACGTCTATTGTTTCAATCACTGCATCAATCTAGCCTAGGGCCTTCCTCGCTTTCCCTGATGCTCCACCTTTCCAAGCACGATGTCCCTCTCCAAGGAAGAGCCCCTCCTAACATGCCCAAACTATGTGAGATGAAGCTTTGCCCATTCTTGCCTTCAAGGAACACTATGGTTGCACCTTCTCCAAGACGTATGTATTTGTTCTGCTGGCAGTCCATGGGATTTTCAGTACTGTTCTCCAACGTCACAACCCAAAGGCACCTATTCTTCTTCTGTCAATTCTATTCACGGTCCAGCTCTCAGGTGCATTTCTAATATGCTCGAGCCTGTCCTTACAGCCTTTATGTCAGCCCATCTGGTTGAGGGTCTTCTTCTCTTTCTCTGTCTGACACTTCCTCTTTCCCCAGTATCTTTCCTCTAACAGTTAATAACTATTCGTTCAAACTCATTTCAGATTATTTTGTGTATGTTTAAGGATGTGTGTTTCTGTGTATATGTGTGTGTGAATTTTCCCTTTTGTTTTTCTTCTTTCAAAGTAACTTCATTACTCAACTTAAACTTCTGTTTCATCTGGAAGTTAAGGGCAGATGATATTTCTTTTTCCCAGGTGCATCACTGTCTTTAAAGCGTTTTTTTTTCCTTGAGTGAAAATTTACAAATCATACTGATTTTTCATTCATCCACGTTTTTGTAACATTAATTACACCTGATTAATGCAATGCACTAATTACAGGCTGAACAATTCTTTACTGAAGAGGAATGACATTTCTGAGGACATCACATCTTCAGTGCCTGTAGATGAGTATGAAACGCCGGATGGGGACATGTTCAAAGATGCTTAAGATTCCTGAGTGAAACGTCTGCCTGGAAAATGCTGGCTGTGAGTAACTCAGAATAAAAAAAAAAAAAAAAAAGGAAGGGCTTTAAACTATGAATTATCTTGCCTTTCTGCTTATACTTGAGCACCCTCTAGTGAGCCACTGCTCGGTACCACAGACTAGTTAGTGCCTTACCTTTGGTAAGGAATTGCGCTGTTTACTCAAAGATAAGAGGTTCGAATCCATCAGCTGCACAGCTGGAGAGAGGTGGGCAGTCTCCTTCAGGTGATTTATTGCCTCTGGAAACCCGCGAGAATGTCAGCTATGAGTTGGTTCCAATTCGATGGTCACAACAACAATAATTGATGGAGAAAGCACCCGCCACTCGACGGCCCACAGTGTGACACGCGCAGGCGCGGGGCTAGGACTGTGCACCTGGCCCCGCTGGGCGCATGCGCGGCCCGGGAGAGCGTGCGCTGCTTAGGGCGCATGCGTATCATGCAGAGGGACCAGCGAGGGGTCCCTTTCTCTGTGGACTTCTTAGCTTTCCCCTTAAAATAAAACCTGCCAGATTCCTCCCTCCAACTTCTCTCCCAGGTGAACTCCTTGTGTTGAGATTCTCTTCCACGTTTCTGTTTCCCTTCAACGTGGGTCCCCTCTGGTGGGAAAGTTCCACAAAGTTCTCCAGTCATCCCTGGATGGTGTCAGCACCTGTCAGCCTCTTCCCAGGCATGAGCCAGCCCCAGCGAGTGAGGTGAGTTAGGAGAGAATATTCGATTAGCTGCTATCAGTTTTCAAAAATGATGGAAATAACTGTCCCTTTCACGGTCCTGAGCACCAGACATTTATATATTAGGGTCTTTTCTCAACCTCCACCCCCCACCCCCTTCCTGTGCACCACACCCTGCACTATACGCTCTGGTGGCACTGGGTTAAGCACTGGACGGCTAACCAAATGGTCAGCACCCTTAGCAGCTGTGCGAAAAAGAGGCTCTCTGCTTTCGAAAGATTGCACCTTGAAGACCTACGAGGTTCGAGTGGAGTCAAAGGCAGTGAGTAAAGGCTGGATTACTGTTGGAAAGGCATGGAATGCCAGAGCATTTTACTCATTTATTTGAAATAATCTGCGTATTTCTACAAACAGTCCTCATCCAGCAGATGCAGACGCCTGGGGTCACCCTGTCATCAGAGTAGAACGTGCATAATGGGAATTGCAGTAGCTGGTAATTTGGAAGTAGATATTCAGCCTTTGTTTTTAGATGCCTCTGGGTGGGTTTGAACTGCCAACCAATTTATGTTTGGTGACCTTGATTAAATCCCCACTTTGTAATGGTACTCCTTCCACTTCCTTTGTGTGTTTTCCATTGTATACAAGATACTTTTAATGGCACGAGTTTGCCTTTAGGCTTGTACTGGAGAAAAGTCAGGATTAGATTAATTTCAGGCTGAGGATTTACGCATTAGATGCTGTGGAAAGACGAGTTAGATTGAAGTAGCTGTGGTAGGAATGTGAGTGCTTCCATAGGGAGTATTCTACCATAGAGCATACAACCGGAAGTAAAAAAGGGTAACAGTTCAAGGGAGCAATGGGTTTAGGGAAAAGAGAATGTGCAGAGATTTTTTAAGACCAAGCTATTTGGCATTGAGTTGATTGCAACTGATGATGACTGTAAAAATGGCCTGGCAGAGTTGTATGACCTCTTCTAACTTCATTAGGGGGAGAGAATAATTATCAAAAGCCAAGCCTTGTTCTTGGTCAGACGTCCACCACTAATCTTTATCAGTTCTGACACCAGACAATCCAGTCTTATCTGTGGCACTCTCCTGGCAACATACCCAAAGTATGGGAGACAAAGTTTCATCCTCTTTGCCTTCAAGGAGCACTCTGGCTGCATCTTCTTTAAGACATATCCGTTTGTTCTTCTGGCAGTCCATGGGATATTGAACACTCAAAGGCATCATTTCTTCTTATTATTCATTGTCCAGCTCTCACATACATAGTAAGTGACTGAAAAGACTATAGCCTGAATCAAGTGCATTAAAGTCCTCAAACTGACATCATTACTCCTTCATAATACTCTCCTACTTAATAATACTCTCCTTTGGAGAGGTCCCTGATTACAGACTTTGCCAGTGCAGTACCTCTCCTGATTCCCTGACTGCTAGTTCCAAGGGTGTTAATTGTGGATCCAAGTAAGATGAAGTTTTTAACAATTTCAATCTTTTCTCTATCATGATGTTGCCTATGGGTCCAGTGGTAAAAATCTTTGTTTTCTTGACATTGAGATGCAATCCATATTGAAGGCTGTATTTTTTAATCTTCAACAAGTGCTTCAAGTCCTCCTCATTTTCAGTAAGCCAAGTTGTGCCATCTGTGTGACACAGGTTATTGATGCGTCTTCCTCTGATCCTGATGCCACAATTCTGTTCATAGAGCCCAGCTTCTTAAGTAATTTCCTCTGTTTATAGATTAAATATGCTGAAAACCTTGTGAACAATAGAGGAACACAAATAGTTACAGTATTAGAAGTATAATATTGACAGTCAATCAAAATAAGGTAAAACAGCTGCAACATCCTTCAATAGTTGCAACATAGAGTGTATGGAGTATAAATGTTAGAAAACAACAAGTTATGAAAAATGAAATGGAATGCATAAACACTGACATTCTATGCATTAGTGAGATGAGATGGACTGGCTTTGGCACTTTGAACCAATCAAATGATATACTATGCCAAGAATGAAAAACAGTAAGAATGGTGATGTATGCCTAGTTAAAAAGACAATTTCAAGGGGAGCTCTGGTGGCCTAGTGGCAAGGAGCTGCAACT